GAGATTTTATTTTGGGGTTGGACATGATAAGAAAGGTATAATCTTGTCATATGTCAAAAATCTATAATTCTTGAAGAATTAAAAGAATATGTACTTCATTATATATTCAAAGAACTAAAGATTAAAATTCGTTCAATTATTCAACCTTAGAAGCTAACATAAATTCAAATATTAAGATTTAAAAAAATTTAAGCAAATATAAAAGACAAAACAAAAACGAGTTCAAACAAAACAATCTCCATGGATGTAAATGGTAGATGCAATGCCCCCATTCATCTTTGATTGTCCATGCCCCTGAGTAAATCAGGTTTTGGATCTTGCGCTTCAGTGCCTTACAATTTCTCAGCAAAATGTTCAGGGCTTCTTGTGTGGTAGTTGTACACGAGATCAACATCGTATACCTCAATGAACGAGGACTCTTTTCTCGGATCATCTTGGAAGGCTCAGTCCTATAACCAGCCGAACAAGCTTCCACCGTATTAACTTCAGCTTCTTGCTTCTAATTTGTTCAAATCTTGCTTCGATTCTCAATGTCGTCACGTGATCAGGATCACGTCCATCGAATTCTCCATGAATTAGTTCCACATTTTTATGAATAATGAAATGCATATGCAAAATGCAAAGATGCAAATGCAAATGCAAAAATGTTGATCCCAACGATGAATATCATAGAATAATTTTCTCCAGAAATAAAAGCCTTCACATTACAAGACAATCCACATTACAAACATGCCTTCGCTTAGATGTTGAGTCTGAAGTGGATCACTGCCTCGTCTCGGATCTTCGTCCTCGAAAATGATGCCCTTTAAGTGTTCTATAGTTACTGATGGAATATTCGTAGATGAGAATCTACTGTTGAATTACTCTTTGGCTCAATAGATCGTCGTTTCAGTCTCGAATGTTGCACAATCTTTGAGCTCATTGCTTCGTCTCGAATCTTTGTATTTGGAACTGATGCCCCCTCAATGCTCTGTAAACTCATTCCGTTAATACCTCAGCAGTGCTGAAGCCATTGCGTCGCTCCTTGATGACTATCGATGATATGATTGTAGATAAAACTCCACTGTTGGATTATTCCTCAAATTAATGGATCATCATATCAATCTCGAATGATGCACAATCTTCGAACAAATCTCATTCTTGTACTCTGAAATCCTTTTACTCTTTAATGCATGTCTATATATGAGACTGTTTGATTGAAAACTTTCATCTCTGCTTGAGAAAATTTTCTCTCGAATATTCCCTTGCGGATCAATACTTTTGCATTATGATGATGCAATGCAATGCAAAAAATGATGACAAAATGAAACAAACAAAAGAGAAGAAATAAATTAGTGCACACAAACAAAAGAAATTAGTTAGTTCAGGTAAGACAATAGATATAGATAAAAATGTTATTTAAATATGAATTTAACACCTACCCTGTCATGATATATACCCGAACATGCTTTCAATAGATAACAATCCTACCCGGACATGCTTTCTACCCACAATGATTTTTCAAGAAATTAATCCTAACTGCATGGTATCTAGTTCGCATGCAATTATTTAACAAAATTTAAAGCAAAAAGGAAAGGTTTAGAAACACTCCTCCTTTGTGTATACCTAATTTGGGTACCTACTGACGGACAGAGGTTCGGTATGACTATACCTAGGGTGATCGTTCTACGGTTCACTATATGCATGGTTTAGGCTCTAACAAGAAAATGGGACTCGAATTGTCCTTAATATCAGTGCCCCCTTGGGCTTCCAGACCCTCGATACTCACCCATTACAGGTTTCGAACGGAACGAGTTCAATTCGAGGGGATTCACTACCTTATACCCATACGAGGAATAAATCCCTACGAAGGTATAAGATATGTATCCCATGGGTTATTTGCTAAAACTCATACGAAGAATAAATTCTTACTAGAGTAAAGCATTCACCCGACTAATTTGGATTGAAGCTCGTGTCTAGAGCTTATGTTATGCAAATGTATGTGATGTGTGTGAGGAGGAACGTACCTACCTTTGACTCAAAACCAAAAAAATAACTCGATAAAAACTTGGACCGATCTGAAAGAAAAAATTCAAATGTTAGTATGACAGTTAAAAAATGAAGCAATTAAAAATTTCAATAAACGGATCATAAATTAACTAAAGACTCAAACTCATAATTTCGACCACAACGACAATGTGTAAGCGACTTTACAGCTTGACTCTCATAAAAAAAGGTCCCTAGCGGAGTCGCCAAGCTGTCATAACCATTTTTAAATAAAACAATTAAATTATTATTTTAAAACGATTATGACTTTAATTTGAAAACTTTGAGGAATTTGTATTAAAAGAATAGGAGTCGCCATCGACCTTTGGGTTAGGTAGGTCGAATACCTAAAAACGTCTTTTAAAATAATTTTAAGAAAAATCATTTTTAGGACGAAAATTGGTCTGCGTTTACCAAAGATTCGATTTAAACGGGTTCGGGAGTCGGTTACGAGTTGGGAAGGATTAGCAACCCCACAGCTCCCAAAATCGGTACTGCGTCGCTTACACGTTGTCGTAAATGGTGGAAATAATGAATTCACATCGACAATTAAAATATGATTCATTTATCAAAATTAATTAATTTGCTTCGAAATAATTAATTAGAGAAAATTCTTTAACTTGAAAAGAAACTTCGAGATTAGCAATCCTCCGTCGGGAAAGCTATCTCGTCTATTTCTTATTCGTAAAAAATGTTCCCTCATCGATAAAAAAATAGAATATAAACTAAATATAAACAGTTTGTATGAAATAAAACAAATTGATATTTACAACAATACTCATTGCATCGTTTGAATCATAATATAAACAAATTAATTAGTAAAATAGAAATTGATTTATCTCAAATTTTCCTTTCATTCGAATGGTGTATTGAATCGCACCTCCTCCGTAAGGGGGTACTTTTCACACCCATTCTATGACAAATGTTCTTAAAAATAATCTAAGGGCACCAACTAAAATTTAATTAATAAATAAACATATCGTAATAAACAACATATACATGTATAAATATGCAAAGTAAAATTAACATAATACACATACATTAGGGACTAAAATGAAAACTAACAAATATTACAAACTGAAATAAAATGAGCAAAAAGGTAAGTACTTGAAATTATAAAGACCAAAATAGCAAAAATATAAAATCAAATATCCAAAATAGTATAAACAAGACTTAAGGGGAAAAAATGGTAAAAACATAAACTTAAATGGTTAAAACAATAAAAACAAAAATTTAAGAGTCAAAATAAAAAATTTAGGGGCTAAAATATATAAAATAGAAACTTCAGGGCTAAAAGAGCAAAATAGAACATTAAAGGAATGAATTAGCATAAACATGAATATAGGACTAAAATGAAACAAATAGAAACTTAGGAACTACAACAGTAATTACAAATAAATTAGAGCCCAAAATTACAAGCATTAAACAATACAGGTACTAAAAATGGAAATAACCCGTAAATAACATATAACTAAAATAAAATAAAACAGGAACATGGAGGGTTGAAACATAATTAAACCGAATGTCAACAATGACTGAAATGAACTATTTACAAATTCCATGACAAAATTAAATAACAAAGAAAATTCAAAACACATAACATCAATGACTAAATTAAATTATTTAAAAACATTGAGGTCAAAGTCAAATATTTACATTAATGGCATAATAGGCAACAACAGGACTAAAATATAAGTACATGAACATGAGCGCTCAAATCAAAATGAAATAAACTTCATTTAATGGCTTAAACAAAACGTTACAAAAGAAAGGGGGACTTAAATTATGATTTACCCCTTTTAGCAAAACACGCAAACCCTCCCTTGGCAAAACGACGACGTTCAATAATGTGGTTATAAATCATATTTAGGGTTATAAAACCCTAAATCCCTCATTATATTCCCCTCTCAACCGCTCAAACTCTCTTCTTCTCCCTTTCTCTCATCTCCTGCCTCCTCGTCGCTGAAGAACAGAGCACCCAGGGGCTCCTTGGCCACCGTATAACGGTGGCCATAGGGTGTAGACAAACCCCCAAAGACCCCAGTTCTCCTTACCCTATGTTACCCATGGTTCAATCGAGCCTCATAAGGCTCGAAGAGCCCTACAACCACCTTCCTGGGTCACGAAACAACCCCAATCGAGACCCACCGATTAGTGACTCCGACGAAGACCCAAGAAAGGTAAAATCTCCACCTCTCACCTCTATATTTTCTTTGTTTTGTTCAAAATGCTTCCTCTGGTATTTCTTCTTTCCTATTTTCACTGGAAAACCGAATGGTCCCCTGATATTTCCCTCTCTGTCTTTTTATCTTTGCATGTATCATTGGTGATATCTTCTCTGCTGATTTTGTGATGGATTGACTGATAGATAGACTATTCTGATTCCTCGAGATTTCTTGTGTACTTGCATGATTTTATTTGATTTTTTAATCGGGTTTTCTCTTTGATTTGCATGACTGATGTGGTCTCGGTCACTGTTGGTGATAACGTCGACAGAGACGGTCGGAAGGGAGGCTCGGCTTGGTGGCTCGGGAACTCGGCGAAGGCTCGGTGATCGGCTCACGGCTAGGAAGCTGAGGAGTTGAAGCGGCGGCGGCTACTGGATGATATGCTTAGAGTTGAAACCCTAATCTAGGTTGCTTGTGGGCCGTTGATCTTCCTCCAGATCTAACGACTGGTGTTAAAGACGGCTAGGGAGAATAGGGTGAAACCCTAGCTGAGTTGGGTCCTTTGTTTGGGCCTGTCTGAGTGGGCTGGGTAGACTAGGACTTGGGCTTGTAATCTGGGCTGCCCATTAAGCCTAAAAAAATAATGTAAATGCATATTAAATAATAATAATAATAATAATAATAATAATAATAATAATAATAAAATATAAAACTAAATAAATAAAAAAAACCCGGACAAAAACGGGTGTCTACACATTGTAGTACAGTTTCGACTGCTGCATTTGGAACAAGAAGACCAACAATTCGCTAGCTATCAGCAGTGGTTTCTAGCCGTACAACACGAAGTCGCCTATGGCTGAGACGGGCCTGAAAAGATAATGATAAGTTTTAGATCATTAAAAGTAATTAATATAATGATAAAAATTGAACATCATACAGGCTTTCAACTCAAACATAGAAAAGAAGGGTCGCAAAAAAAGGTGAGAAAACATTAACTTTGAGAAGGCTGAATTGACATGATATCATTGATTACCAATGACTTGAAGAATAGATTTGTGCATTGTAGCAGCCCGAAACTAGCATTTAGGTACACAACTAAATTATCTTTGCAAGCAATGATAGAATGTTATCCCAGCATTGCAATGCCAAAAAACAGAAATTGTGATGTATACACGTTCTAACAGAGTAAGATACCTTTTACATCATGTCATAAAAAGGGACAAAATTCAGATGCTACAAGGACTTGATTTTGAGGAGAAGGTTCCTCATAAACACACTGGTACTACAGATTATACAACTGACAAGGAATTGTTACAAAAGAGCAGACCACACAAAAAGTTACCTGCTTAGATAGGGCCTTCTCAATCGTGCCCCAAACTGGAAGAATGAGACCACCCAAAACATTTACTTCCTGGATTCTTCTACCAACTGTACAAAATTTGCCAAGCTTACAATTGGGGCCATGCATGCACTGCACATAAAGAAATATTAACCCAAGAGGAAATTAGGATGTCAGCAAAACTGGTTTAACAATATAACAAGGACAATTATCTGATACACAGGCTGTGTAAACTAATCCTGTCTATTTTAATGCCACGTGTCTTATTTAGGGTTTAAGGTTTAGGGTTTAAATAGGAAATGTTGTTTTTTACACAACCTGTGTACAAAAAATTACTGATATAACTATAACAGGTCTGTTGATAAAGATGGAGATATGATAGATTTTGTCCATAAAGGAAAGAAGGAAATTGATATTAGGTATTCTAAGCAAAACGCTCTAACCTTCAAAAGAGAATATCGGACGCATTCGCATACATGGAATACAGGCAAGGATATGATGACATAATTCTATTTGGGACTTTAGAACAGCAAATCAGATAATAAAATAAATTGAATGGATCCCCAGAAGGTGGCAGGGGCGTTCACCCCATGAAAGTTCTAAATTCTCATATAATTTAGATATTTTCTTTATATTTTCTATTGATAATCTGTTTTCACCCCTAAAATTTTATAAGCTCGCCCTCTAGCATAAAATCCCGTATATGTCCCTCTTTTTGTATTTATTTTACAAAATATTTACTATAACGTAAACATTGATAATTGTCATTAACATACAATCAAATTTTCACATTTCTTTAACATTAAATTTCTTTTACCACCAAAAGGAGGTTCAATTAATCAGCCCAATAGTGTAAAAAATAAGAGGTCAAATGCCCTATCCAAATTAGAGCCCAAATTTTAGAAGTTAAAGCATGAAAGAAAAAAATTGCAAAGAGGAACTTCTAAGTAGCTCTCAACAGAGTTGAAACTGATTTATTGTTCTTTGGTTTTTAAAATATTGATTTTAATGATGGTTGTCAGGGTTCTTGTCCTCATTGTCGATTCCTTTTTCTTTTTAGTGGAAACTGTATATTCCACCTTTAGCAGACCAAATGAAAAAAACCTCCAGCCGTATCCCTTACATGCCGGAGATCTGTTCACCTTGTCCAATTTAGTTTTCTATTTTTGTAGCATCCATGCATATCAATGCTTCATAGCAGATTTTTAATTTCTTTTGTTTCTTTCTTTTTTTCATTTTAATCACGATAATTGTGTACCTGTTTAGATGAAACTTCATATTCATCTTCCCATCCACAACGAGCTTTCTCTAGCAATGAAATTCTTCTGTATTTTTTTTTTTCAGTTCTGCCAAAGACATTTCCCTGGAAAGTTGAAGGCAAAGTGGTTAAGCACACGGATTCTAGTACAAAGTTGTTTTGAGACAGTTTTGATTTATGTTGAAAGTAATACCTTACTGGCTCTCCAACGGCTGGACGGACTATCTTAAACATTCCAGAAGCAGAACTGAAACGGAATTTGGGGAGGAAAATATAACAGTAAATGAAGTGGGGGAAGTTCATTCAATCTTTACATACTGAATAATGAATATACTACGTTTAAAGATCTGCAAAGTACCCCTATGACTTTTGCTATTAATAATCATAACCCTATATGCTACATGAGTGAGTCTTGCAAGAAGGAAAACAAATACCTCTCAAATGCTAGAACAAAATGACGTCTTCCTAGCCATTCCCTTCTAGATTCATATAATCCATCACTGGCTGAACCAAGTCCATCCTTCTTCTCATCAAGCATGGTACTTGCAGCCTACCACACAATTCAATCACAGTGCTATGAGCATTATACTTGTCAAAATGAAACAAGCCAGTCATGAATCAAGAGCAAGAAAGAAAAAAAAAAGCACCTCCCATGTGATTCCACGATCCAAAGTGAAAGTGAACAGCATTGTTGATGCCCCAGACATAGGATCAACATGGACAGTCTGTTGGAAGACAAATAGTTAGCATAATCTAATTACATAAAGTAAATCATTAGATCTGGAAAAAAATAACCTCTGGTTTTCCTTGTAAATCAATGATGTTAGCTTTCATGTCAACAATTCCAGAATCAAGATTTCCTTCAATTCTTGCATTCTGAATCAGGACATCCAAGATACTTATGAACAACTCGAATAGCCTGCATTTCAATTGCTTGTATTCAGCATACTAAATGCAACCTAACAACAAGAATTTGTATTAGCCAACAAGATACCTATTCTGAATATCAGGTGGCAGTCCTAACAGACGATTTAGGAAACAACCAACATCATGCATGTCTGAATCAACTATTCGGCTAGAGAATTTTCCATTATCCTTCCCATTACCTATAGCAAAGAAATGGTAAAAAATGAATAAATAACACATTCGAAGTCGATGATTGATGGTATATTTTCCAGAGGTCAATAGAAAGTTAGATAAATGATTAACAAATGTTTTACTCATTTCAGATGCAAAAAGGTTATTACCAAGAACTGTATCCCTAACAATTCCGACAGAAATAAGAGCAGCCTTTACCTTTGTGATAAAATCTTGAATTGTTTCTGATGAACATCCAGGAGGTACAACAGGCAGATTATCCTGGAAACCACAACTGTAGTTATTCCCTCCATTTTTCTTTGTAAAGGTAATAATACTACTGAATTTTTTTTACAAGAACCTGCTCCATAATCCCTCTATACATAACCACCAATGCCTTTTTACCATAAGAACTATCATAGTTGTAAGCACTCAAAGATGGCCCAGCCCTGAGAATCATCAGTCATATCATAAGAAAAATAAATAAAATAAAGGAGACCATAATATTATAAAAGTTAACCTGCCTTTAATATCCTAAAAACCAAAAGCTGAAGCCAGCAGAGATATTTAGGTTATAGAATGATATAAGGAACCTCATACCATAGAGAAGAAAGAACATTTTTTTTAATAAAAAAAAAGTGCATGTTGATAAAGAACTTGGTGAAAATTTCAATGGTTAAATATTTTTAATGCGTTTAAGCAGCTTATTTTAAAACTTGAATGAAAAATTTTCAATTATAAAATGTTTACGACCAATAATGAACCTTAGAAAGTAACAGGAACTTTGGGGGAAGCCAAACCACTGACCATCTATGCCCATGGCTTAAGTTATTTTGATGAAATTTTTCTCAAAGAACACATCTGCAAAAAACAAAACTAAAAAATTGAACTCACCTACGATCTCCCTGTGTCAAGGCTCCAAGAGATTCTAACCTCTTGGCAACAATTGATGCAAAACGCCGTTCTCCACCAAGATTGGTAAAAAGTAGCCTGCAGAGCAAATTAGAACAACAAAACTAATCAAACAACAAATAACTAAAAGATATGCCTTTTTACTTGTCAAGCTGACAGGATTTAATATCTGCAATACTTGATGAATGAGAAAAGAAAGAATGCCATCAAAGAATAATCTAACAGATAAATTCATGGAATTAAAAGCAAAGGAATAACTTTCAAAAGTTTGAAGAGTACAGAGTGGAGGCATAATTAAACCGGATTCCATGGCCATTCATCTTTTACATATTTGTATCCCAATTTCTCAACATCACTTCACATGCCTCAATTTATTGAGGTGATTCTAGATTGCACAGAGAAGTCATTACGAAAAAGATGATACAGAGTAAATTTGGATTTACAAATTAAGAGATGACAGAATTAGCGTACAATGTGAGAGTCAAAACAAACAGGTTGATACTATCATAGACTACTCTTCACATTCAACAGAGTAAAGGCAAAATTCCTAGCCCACCTGTATTCAGGTGCAGAAGCTTGATTGGAACGATGAGTTCTTCCAAACTGTTGAATTGCTCGGTCAGCACTCCAAGGAAGTTCAACGTTAAATGAACCTTCTTTTCTGCAGAAATGTGTCACTTAGTGGAAAGAGGACAAGGAGACCAAACCAAATTGTAAATACAAAAAAAAAAGACCACTCTAATCTACAAATAAAGGGCAGTATGGTATGAAAAGTAAAGTGAGAATATTTTTAGAAGAAATACCTGATTTACTGCTCTTCTATCTGCATGCAACGATACACCAGCTGATCCAGCCTCAGATATAAGGGAAACAAACTTCTTACCATCCATAAAGACCTGCTTTTCATGCATATTGACCATTTCCATTGTAACTTCCTTTCTAAAAATACGTGGGAGAATGCCACCTTAGATAACCTTCAGTATAAGGTGAACAAAAGCTGAGAAATAAAGAAATAATAAACTCACGTGTTTCGTGCCTGGTAAGTCACACCTTTCCCGCTAGAAGCCCTTACAAGCATGCCTCTCCTTCCTGTCATTTCCGCAACTTTATCAGGACCTCCAATCTGCAAACTCATTGAATACATAGTTAAAAAGGACAAATTTCAGGGAAAAAGCGTAGATGCAATAAGTTCTGTTGATGACAAATTATCACCAATGAACAGATATCACAGAACAAAAGCAGGCAACCAGAATAATAATAACATGCAAAAGCAGCTAATCAAGAAAGGATGGAACAAATGGATTTGGTTAATTTTTTATAAGAAGGATTTGGTTATTCATAGTTTGTTTTTAACAAGAATAAAGACAGGTGGACCAATTGCTCTTAATGAAATAAGTCAAATTGAATATAAATTAGCATGCATTGGAACCAAAACTGAACAATCATACACAACCACTAGAAAAAAACAGAAGAAAAAGAGGATTAATCTCTAACAAATTAAAAGGTTGGCAATAAGGCACCTAAATACATTGCATTGAAGAGACCAAAAACAAATAGATCTTCAGAACTGGTTGTCATGAGATAAATACAAATAAACATCATTCATTCACCATATTAGGGAGAAAAACAGGTATGAAAACTTTAACATGTAGCATTACCCGCTGACCTGCATGGCTGCTACATGAACCCCAATAATTTCTAGATACGACATTTTTAATAGGACACTCTCTCGAACTTGTGGTCACACTCTACTCTATTGGGGTCCATGCCAACCATACAAAAACTAGCACCATTGCTTGATACAGAATGCACAGTAGTGAAAAAGTCCCTAATTGACTAACCATCCTCCAAGAACTAGAACGTATCATGAAATTTAAGAGCATCTAAAGGTCACAAAAGATATACATAAGAAGAGTAAAGGCTGACTCTTCTCATGAATTGTTTCACAAAAGGACTCCAGAACATGAAACTGTCGGATTAAGCAAAACAGGACATTTCTTTGCTAAGAGAGTACCGATAAAAAAATAAAGCTAACAGAAAATGTTCAAAGCATTTAGGAAGCAAAACCATAAATCTTGCAAGAAAGGAAGCTGTGCCTTGGTTTTGAAGTTTCATCTCATAAAGCAAATGATGAGCAATATAAACTACAATTCTCAAAAGACCACCCAAAATAATACAAATTATCAGCATATCTTAACCATTGTAGATTTTTGAGAAGAGAACAAGAAATGCAACCAACCTGATCAATAAAGTCATCCAAGGGATTGTTTGGAAGATCTAAAGAGCGAATTATATCCAAAATTTTTGACTTGCGCTGCAAAGCTTGTTCATACCTGAGCTAAAGTTTACAGGAAATTTGTTAATTCATCTCTAAAGAAATTGCAAACAACACAATACCCCTCATCCGCACTACTTTGAGATTATAAAAAGGAGAATAGAAGAAAACTATTTAAGAAAGAAACATCCAAAATACAATAACCTCTTTAAAAGTTCTTCTATATAGGCATGCCTTGCTTGCATGTATTCATCTGTTTTCTCCTTGCATGAATAACACGACCAATTTTCAGGGACTAAATCTGTAATAGGTGGAACTAAACAAGCAGGATGCACAAGTTTCCCACAACAGGAACACTGAAGCAATTTCTTCCTCTCCTGGATTAATGATAGCACAACGCGTGAAGAATTGCAGATGCTCAAAGCATAATCAAGAAAAAAGAAATTACCTCTTCACTACTGCATATCTCACACATATGAAACTCATCATCAGATTCAGTAGTCTCTGGCCCAGAATCAGCTGCATGATGAAGCAAAAACTTTGTTATCAAAACACCTAAGTAACAGTTTTTTCATAATATTTTTTTTATAGAAGATTAGGCCTCATTAAGAAAACCCCTTTTTCACCCTCCATGTTATGTAAGTAACATAAAGGACAAAGAAAGGAGGAAAAGAGTGCCTAGAAATTTATTAGATGAAACAATAGTACAACATAGGCAGACCCTAAACATCTGCTAACACCACCAGGAATTACATAAAACTTAAACACAACAGCTAAACATAGGAAATAAAATTTCCTACACCTCAACACAAGCAGACAGAAACCAAAACATCACCCTATCCCATCTTTAGCTAATTTGTCAGCTTCCCAATTTGCAGCCCTCGAGATATGCCTAATAATGATATCCTTCCCTTCCATAAGAAAGACTATATCCTTCGCCAATAATTGAAACATAGGAGTGCAAAAACTCGGATTCTTGATCCACTTCAGAGCATTGCTTGAATCTGATTCAAGAATAAACCGCTGATTAAGAACAGAACTTAAATCTTCCAGAAGACATAACCCCCTCTTAATCGCCAATAATTCTGCCAAGATAGGAGGACCACCCTCAACTCTTTCTGAAAACCATTGAAGTAACACGCCTTTGCTGTCCCGAATCAAACCACCGATATCTCCCTTATCCCAGCCCTTTGCCATCGCTCCATCAACATTTAGCTTTAAGAACCCATCCGGAGGAGGAACCCAGCAAATTGGTTTAGAGTTACCATTTCCTTGTCTTCCCACCAAATCAACAAGTTTTAAATCCCCCACAAGTGAGTCTAAAGGGATGCACACATCCTTGAATTTTGCAACAAACCAGGAAGCTATTCTAAAACGCACAATAAAGAACAATCTCACCACATCCAGTTTTACTTTCTGAAAAATAGCCTCGTTTATGCATTTCCACACTGACCACATCAACGCCCTTGGAATAAATTTCCAGATCAAAGAGTTCGGAAGTAAATCATCCCAAAAATTGAAAAAGTCAATGATATTCTTTGGAATCACGAAAGACAGATTCCATATATTCAGAAATCTGGACCATAGACCCCATACTACCTCGCAATGCAAAAAGAGAAGCGTAACTGATTCCATTTCCTTACCACACAATGAACATAAAGGATCATCAATCCCTGCCACTCCTCGCTTCAATAATTCCTCCTTAACCGTCACTCTCCGATGAGCAACTTTCCAAACAAAAGTCTCCACCCATGGAGGAGCAATCCCTACCCAAATACGCCTCTCCCATGTCTCATTCTTCTGCTGAATACCATCTTGATCAAAGAAAATGTTGATACAAGATTTAGTTGAAAAACAACCCTCTCCATTCCCTGACCAAATCCAACAGTCTTCCTCACATGGAGATATAGAGATATTGTTCAACATAGAAATCAAGTACAACAACTGGTCAACCTCCCAATCCGTCAAATTTCTACTCATTTGAATGTCTCACACCCAACCAGTGCCATTATTCACCCTAAACTCCATCACTTTACCCAATTTGTTACTCGACATAACATAGAGTCTAGGAAACTGAAATTTAAAAGGTACTTCACCCAACCATACATCGTTCCAGAACTGCACAAAATTCCCCTTCCCTATCTTCAAGCGCATATTCTTTCTAATACAATCCCCAAAACCATCATCGGTGAAGAAATTTATAACCACTCCTCTCCAAATCCAAGATGCACGAGCTGGCCACGAGTTCCCCATCATTATGCCTTTCGGATCCATATCATATACACCACATACCACCCTCTTCCACCAAGTCTCTTTCTCTGATGCAAACTTCCAAATCCATTTCCCCAATAATGCTCTGTTCAAGAGTGATAAATTGGGGATCCCTAGACCCCCCAATCTTTTTGGTTTACTAACCGAATTCCAATTTAACCAATGGCTATTTTTTTTATCCGCCGCACCCCCCACAGAAATGAAACCATGATATAATTAAGTTTCTTTAGCACAGAAGCTGGAATTATGAAAATGGAAAGAAAATAAACTGGAAGCGAGCACAACACCGATTTAACCAATACCACCCTTCCTGCAAGCGACAGGGAATTAGACATCCAACCACTCAACTTAGCATTAAATCTCTTCACTATTGGCTCCCACATAGCAGCTGAATTCCTCTTGTACCCCAGGCCCAAGGGTAAACCTAGATACTCTGATGGGAAATAGCCTACCGAACAACCAATATCATTAGCCCAAGTAGCTAACACCCCATCCTCAATATTAATGCCATAAATTATGCTCTTAACTATATTAAGCTTCAACCCCACTAGTAACTCGTATATTAATAACACTCTTCTAACATTCCTCAAATCACGAATAGAGCCTTTATTGAAAATTATAAGGTCATCCGCAAATTGCAAATGCGAAAGCTTAAATACCCTATCTTGAACACCTAAATCGAAACCTGAAAACAATCATATCTTAACTGCTTTAGTTAGCAACAAATGCAGTAGCTCACCGGCCAAATTAAACAGTAAAGGCGATAGCAAACAACCCTGCCTCAGTCCTCTCGCTGTGTGAAATTTCTCTGTAGGTGACCCGTTAACTAGAACCGAAATGGATGCAGAAGATATACATTAATACATCCATGACCTCCACTTATCACCAAACCCCATTTTTCTCATAATTTTCATCAAAATGTCCCAATCAACCGAATCATTGGCTCTCTTGAAATCTACTTTGAAGACTACTCCCTTCAACCATTTCTTCCTCCAAAAATCAATGCTTTCATTTGCAATAAATGAGCAGTCCAATATGTTCCTTCCCGGTATGAAAGTAAATTGAGACGGACTCATTATATCATTAATGCACAAACTCAATCTTCTAGCTAAAACCTTTGATAAAATTTTATATAGCCCTCCAACTAGGCTAATTGGCCTAAAGTCTTCTAACCCTTCCGGATTGACATTCTTAGGAATGAGAGAAATAAAGGAATGATTTACCTCTTAGTCCCACTCCATCCCCCCATAGAAATCTTTAAAAAACAGCATCACATCATCCTTCAAAATGGTCCAGAATTTCTTAAAGAACCCTAAATTTAGACCGTCCGATCCTGGAGCTTTGTTACTATCCGAATGAACGATAACATCCCATACTTCCTCTTCCGAAAATGGTTTCTCCAATCCTAGACACTTCCCTTCCGATAGTCTAAGAAAATCCAGATTTAAATCCTCAACCTCCAAAGTATTCTTTTGATTAAACAACCCCTTAAAGAACACCACAACGACTTTAATAACATTGGGATCTTCTATGACTACATTGTTAACTTTGAGAGATTTAATACAATTTATCCTTCCTCTAACTGCCGCACTATGATGGAAAAATCTAGTGTTCTTATCTCCTTCCAATCTCCACTTTATTCTAGACTTTTGCAACCGAATCGATTCTTTTTTTTTTGTAGCTCCCATAGTTCTCTCTTTGCTTCAACAATAGATTGCATAGACACCATGGAAAGTCCTTGTTGCAAATCCATTTCCATATCCTGAATTCCTCTCTCCAACGTTCTGATTTTTCCTGGCAGCTGAAGATAATCCCTCCTCGACCACCTCTTTGCCACATCCTTCACCAGATTAAGTACTTTGGAGATGGACATCGTATTCACTCATTTGCAGAATTTAAATAGCTCCGTTTTCATCATCTCACTAAACCCATCTTCCTCCAACACATAATTAAACAACCGAAACAGTTTCGGCCCCCAATTACACTCCTTATTCTTCAACAAAATGATATTGTGATCAGAGACAGACCTTGGATGCAAAGTTTGGCATAATTTTGGAAAAGACGAAAAATATGTCTGATCAACCAAAAACCAATCAAATCTCTCATAAGTGGGCATTTCCCTATTGTTACACCACGTAAAACAACCTCCAAATAGCGGCAAATCAATCAAATCCGCCTGACTAACAAAATCTCTGAAACTATTCATAGATACCGTATTCACTGCTCCTCCCTCTTTCTCTTCCTGAGACAATACCGCATTGAAATCTCCTCCTAAACACACTGGACAATCAAGTTGTTCCAGAAAGGATAATAACTCCCTAAAAAACTTTTCCTTATCTGTATCAACACTCAGACCGTAAACATTAATAAAACAACAAATTCCTGGTACTCCTTCCAACAACCCCTTTATTGCCACAAATTTACTATGGATGACTTCTTCCTTCACAACAAATTCCTTTTGATTCCACAAAGTTATTAAACCACCAGCAGAACCTACAACAGGAACTATTACTGAACCGGTGAGAATTTTACCTTCCATTTTCCTTACTAACAAATGACTTACAGCTTCCAGTTTAGATTCTTGTAAAAATAAAATTGTAGGTTTTTTCTCCTCAACAAACCTCCTAATTGCTCGAGCTTTCACCCTCCTACCCAATCCCCTAACATTTCAACACATTATGGACCACTCTACCATCATAATCATACCATAACCTTAAATCCATGTTCCTACTACCGACCATCAAACATCTCTCTCCTTTACCATAGGACCTACTTTGGCCAAGAAATCTGTCTCACCTCCTTTAAATTTAACCCCCAGCAATTTAGAGACATTTCAATATTCCAAAACTTCTATCCTCCCCTAGTTCTCCACTTCTGTAACATAATCAGATCCCTTGCCACTGCAACTATTAACTTCCCACCTCCTAACATACACATTCTTATAAAAACCTCTTTCAGCTTTACTAACTGAAACACTCCTCCTCATAGGACGCCGCTGGGCCAATGAAACAAACTCATTATGTTGACCAGAGTCAGCTTGTATACCATTTATTAAATCTGCAGACTTAACCCCATTTCTATTTGATCTTGGACTTCCCTGCTTAGGCCCATATACCTCTCTCCTCCCCATGCTGGAATTAAGCCAATCATCTTTGACCACTTTATCTTGTCTCGAGGTATCACCTCCCATGCTCTGCACCCTTTTTCTATCTTCAGAAAAAACCCTTGACATTTGCTGCTGACTGTGAACCTCACCTAGTACTGTCCCCTCAGAACGAAAGTCAGCACCTAAGATATTATTGACTTCTGCATTTTCTTCCAAATTTCCATCGGTACGCTTGTCACCCCTATTTGTAGCATTC